AAGAAAAACAAACCAACCATGTGATTTCAGCATTGCAGGTTCTTAAGGGACAGTCCTGAAGACTTTTGCATTCTCTCTCTCTCTCTTTTTTTGTTGTTGTTGTTGTTTTTTCAAGACAGGGTTTCTCTGTATAGCCCCTGGCTGTCCTGGAACTCACTCTGTAGACCAGGCTGTCCTCGAACTCAGAAATCCACCTGCCTCTGCCTCCCAAGTGCTGGGATTAAAGGCGTGTGCCACCACCGCCAGGCTAGACTTTTGCATTCTCAAACGCAAAAAGTTTTGGAGGTTCTAGTTGTGAACTGCAACTACTTGTATACCTTTGACCAAAGAACAGTGGGCCCTGTTCTTCTGGAAGGTCATTCTCTCCAGCCAAGCAAGCACTTTTGGGAGGAACACATGGAGTTGTAAGAAAAGAAGCCAGCGCCGGGCGATGATGGCACACACCTTTGATCCCAGTACTTGGGAGGCAGAGGCAGGCGGATTTCTGAGTTCGAGGCCAGCCTGGTCTACAGAGTGAGTTCCAGGACAGCCAGAACTACACAGAGAAACCCTGTCTTGAAAAACAAAAACAAAAAAAAAGAAAAAAAAGAAAAGAAGCCAGCTACCTCAGCATAATCAGCCCTGTCATTGCTGGGATGACAGATACCACAGCCAATCCTCATCAGTTCCAGGTTCTTGTGGTCTTTATTTCATTATTTAATTCAGACAATATCTACAGAAAGAGGCTGACTTCTTGGTTTAAATCTAGAGCCCTTCTTACTCTCCTGAAATGCTCCTGGACCATCAAAAAATTCCCCACACAAAGGCCCAAGGTGCTGGGTGTGAAAAGGTTCTCATACTGACAGATCAGGAACTAAAAAAAAACTGTCTTTTTCTATTTTAGGAAAACTTCGTGCAGAAGTCGGTAAGTTCCAAGTACCCTCCTGCCCCAATTCCTCATCAGGTCTTTTTTAGCTTAACCAAAATGTCCCTCTCTTCCGACCATTTCTGCCTCTCCTCCAATGCTCCATGCTCCCTTTATTGGGAACTTTTAATATTTCAAACTATAGGCAGCTAAAAATTAGAAATTGTTTTAACCTGAGTTCTTACAGTACAGTTTATTTTGCATCAGGGCTAGAACCCAGGGAAGGGACTCCCTTTCAGCTCCTTACTGAGTCTATTCTTATTTGTTCTTTTCAGAAAACCTCCATCGGACTTTTGGTAAGTTCAGGCATGTCCCAACCCTCCCAAGACATGGGATTTCACTAGTGGCCTGGGGGACTAGGGCCAGTGGCTTTTTCTTTTTTTTAAGATTTATTTATTTAATTCATGTGAGTACACTGTATCTGTCTTCAGACACACCAGAGGAGGGCATCAGATCTTATTACAGATGGTTGTGAGGTACCATGTGGTGGCTAGGAATTGAACTCAGGACCTCTGGAAGAGCAGTCAGTGCTTTTTTTGTTTGTTTTTCCAGACAAGGTCCCTCTGTATAGCCCTGGCTGTCCTGGAACTCACTCTGTAGATCAGGCTGGCCTTGAACTCAGAAATCTGCCTGCTTCAGCCTCCCAAATGCTAGGATAAAAGGCATGCACCACCACTGCCTGGCACAGTCAGTGCTCTTAACCGCTGAGCCATCTTTCTAGCCCAGACCAGTGGCTATTTTGTAAGGCCCTTCTACCTTTTTTTTCTTTGCATTCAAAAGAGGAATGTAGCAAACATTTATTTATGTACCATATTCCAGTGTCAGGCCCTACACTGAATGTATGTTACAAATTGTGTATGTGTGTGTATAAAATCTTTTGAATTATAAAACGTGGTAAAAGAGATCCTTTGCACAAAAAATTGTGTGCCCAGTGGGAAAAATGAAATATACTTGAATAAGACACAACCACCGGGACTAAAGACATGGCTCAGTGGTTAAGAGCACCTGCTGTTCCCCTAGAGGACCTAAGTTCTATTTTCTGACCCCACAGCAGACAGCTATACACACAAGGCATACATATGTAAGAAAAAAAAATTTTTGAGATATGGTCTCACTATGTGTAGTCCTGGCTAACCTGGAATTCACTATGAAGGATATGTTGGCCTTGAACTCAGAGAGCTCCACCTGCCTCTACTTCCCCCGTGTTGGAATTAAAGACATTTGCCACATACACAGAAAGTTACATTTTGCCGGGCGGTGGTGGCGCACGCCTTTAATCCCAGCACTTGGCAGAGGCAGACGGATTTCTGAGTTGGAGGCCAGCCTGGTCTACAGAGTGAGTTCTAGGACAGCCAGGGCTACACAGAGAAACTCTGTCTGGAAAAATCAAAAGAAAAAAGAAAAAAAGAAAAGAAAGTTACATTTAAAAAAAAGTTATCTGCTATACTTATGGCAGAGTTAGTTTTCAGGAGTACAATCCAAGCACATGATTCATCAGGAAAAGCTTCTTCAAGGAGAAAGTAAAGAAGCCTCACTAGTAACTTTTTAAAAAAGATTTATTTTATATATACGAGTACACTGTAACTGTTTTCAGACACACCAGAAGAGGGTACCAGATCCCATTACAGATGGTTGTGAGGCACCATGTGGTTGCTGGGAATTGAACTCAGGACCTCTGGACGACCAGTCAGTGCTCTTAACTGCTGAGCTATCTCTACAGCCATAGTAACTTTTGAGTCAGGGTTTCATAGGCTATGCTGGTCTTCAAACTATGTCATGAAGGATGGCCGTGGGCTTTCGATCCTTCTGCCTTTAACTCTCAAGTGCTGGTAAATGCATATTCAACTATGCATGCCCCAACTAGAATATTAATTCCTCAAGAATCATCTTTACATTTTCTTCACTTCAGATTGCAGAGACAACACCAGCAACAGAACATCCAAATGTTTGAATAGATTCCATACAACTAAAAAATAACATTAAGCAGACCACAAAAAAATTGCTCTTCCAATCAACCTTCCTAAACATAAACAGCCTTTCCATCTGAAGCCAGATGTAGCCATGTTCAGCTTTCCTGGTACTTGGCACACTTAAGTTCCACCCTAGCACTTGACTTTGGGCCAGTATGATGTCACACATGTAGTCTTTGAATGTATTTTATTACGCGTGTGTAGTGGGTGAGTGTGGGCAAGTGCTCAGACAGAGGTCAGAGGACATTATGGAGGAGTTGGTTCTCTCCTTCCATCATGTGGGTCTGGGGATCAAACTCAGGTCTTCAGGTTTAGCAGCAAGTGCCTTTATCAGCTACGCCGTCTCACTGATCCCATTTCTGTTTTGAAATGCCTGTCTCATGTATTTCAGGCTGGACTCAAACTCGCTATGTAGCCAAAGATTACCTTGAATTTTGATCCCCCTTCCTATACCTCCTATATTCTGGGATTATAGGTGAGCCACCAAGCCTAGTATATGCTGTGCTGGGGATAGAACTCAGAGCTCTGGCAAGCTACAAACTGAACTACCTTCCCAATCTTCAGGATTTTAGAAGATTTGAATATCTAAATTCTTAGCCATGTTTGTATCTTGAAGTCATAAATACAGCCAGTGCTAATACCAGTTTTTGACTTTTTTTTCCCCTTTTTGAGACTGCATCCATAGCCTGCTGCTTGTACTTGTTAGTATAAGAAAACCTTAGGGAAAGAAGGGTTGATGACTTGTGATCGCAGGACCTGGCCTGGAAGGCTAAGGCAGGAGAGGATTTCTCAAGTTCAAGGCCAGCCAGGGATACAAAGCAAGAAACCTTTCTTCCAAACAAAGACCCATAAACAAACAAACAAAAAATGCTATAGATGGGAGGGAGGGTTAGTGTGCGGCTGAATATGAGCAACGTATGAAAGCGTCACATAGCCCATGGCTTTCTATGCTAAATCAGCTAAAAAGAAAAAGCTAAGTTCAATCAGAAGCTAATGGAAATAAAGGCACAGCGCACCTCATACAAATTCATGGACTCTATAGTTTGTCCCCAGAGTCCTTTGAGGGCTTCAGGTTAAGAAGAGTGGGTATAGTATAGAAACATTGTTCTGCTTTACTCTTTAGATCCTCACTTCCTAAGGGTGCCCTGCTGGAAGATAACACTGTTTGTTATTGTGCCTGTTCTTGGACCCCTGGTTGCCTTGATCATCTGCTATAACTGGCTGCACAGAAGACTGGCAGGTACAGTGTCTGGGCAGCAAACAGGATTAATATGCAGCAGGGAACATAGGCAGACCAGAATGGAAAGAGTGGAACCAAGGCTCTAGATTCCAGGGCTGGAAATCTCTTTGCTATGACATCAGAATCCTCAGGAAAACAGAACCACTTAATGAGATGCATGGGACCCTTAATGGAAAGGGAGGGTTGTCTGGGGGAGGGTAGGAGGTGAGGGGGACTCCCACTGTTCACCTATCGACTCATTTCTCTTTGTTTACAGGACAGTTTCTTGAAGAGCTAAGTAAGTTCTCCCTAACATCCCTCTCCATTCTTGAGACATCTCATTATGCAGCCCTAAAACTCACTACGTAAACCAGACTGGTCTGGAAACTATGGCAATCCTCATCTTCAAGTGCTATGGTCATAAGCATGTACCTCTGTACCCAACTGTTTTCTTCCTTCTTCTAAACTGAACAAAAACCCAGCAGAGGGAACATGGTTACTGAAGGACCATAATCTCAGGGAGGGCTGTAATTACTCCTGTGAGGGAAAAGGGAAGGGAATTCACTGTTGAGACACATTTTCAGTGCCAGAGAGGCTCTGAGCCACTCTTACCTGTTGACTTAATACCCTTTAGTGCCCCTTAGCCAGAATCCAACTCTGTAGCCTCCTTTGACATTTTCCATAATAGTTTTCCTAAACCTCATCTCCCTTCAAGACCAACCAGGAGGTTGGGGGTAATGGGGTAGAGAGAACATGAACCCTGTGAATTTTCTATCTCCTAGGTTCACTGACTTCATGAAAAGAACCCACTGGCAGATTTTTTAAGTCACTTGTCTTTCTTTCTAGGAAACCCCTTTTGAGTGATGGTGTCTCTTCCTGGAGCAAAGGAGAGCCTGGCAGGTCCTTGGGGATGTCTCTCATTGGCCTCTTTGCTATGGACATATTCCAATCTACATCTCTATAAACACTCTGGATCCCAAATAGAACTTGATTCCCTCCCTCAACTGTCTGCCTTTCTTCAGCTCCTTCCTCTAATTTTTGACTTCCACGTCTTTTTTACTGTCTTAGTCTGCCTCTAGAAAACACCCTATGGCTAAGGCCAGGCAGTCTATCAGGAGACACCTATGCGCCAAAGTAATACAGAAGTGATTCCACCAACCGGGATACTGAGCACTTCAACATCATTATCAACTACAGAACATCAACTCTGCAAACGGTGGATATTTCTTCCAAGACCACAGTCTTGACTGGGAAAAGAATATCAATATGGAGAGTACGGGGACAGAGACAGAAAAGTGCACAATATCAAGGAAAGCTAAGCAAGCCAGGGTATGAATATGGGAGCTTGAACCAAAACCTGGAGCTAAAAATAAAAAGAATACTGATCAGAGCAACACCATCTTGCTTTGGCAGCCTGGTGGGAGGACCTTGAGAAGCGAGGGCTGAGAGAACTGGGTCTGCTCCCCTATGTTCCATACCTTCGTGTTCCTTCATACTCCTCTCATTTCTCCTATCTTATTTCTCTGAGTATACACTGTTTGTTTGTTTTCCCAACAATTACTACTTGGTGGTCTACCAGACATAAACAAGCTAGGTGCTAATTAATAATACAAGTTTCTCTGTGCACACTTCTTTTTCTTTCCTTGTCTCTTTCCTTCATCATCCATTCCTCTCCTGCTCAAGCCTCCTGATCCCAGAGGTCAGTCTTCAGGAGAAAACAAGTACAAAGACCTCAGTTAGACCTCCCTAACCTCCACTTCTTTTAGTTTTAAAAATTGTATTTATTTTGTGGAGTAGGGAGATGGGGTCATGCATGAGCATGTGTGAAGTCAGGATTCAGTTCTTTCCTCCTGTTACAGGGGTCTCAGGGTTCAAACTCATGAGGTCAGGGTTCAACTCAGGTCAGAGCTGGTGGCATCCTCCATTGACCACAGAGACCCCTCACTATCCTCAGACGAGTCTGTTTCCAGATTCTTACGGTATGCTTGTCTCCGTCTTCTCTTCCTGGATTCCATTTTTTTCCTTGGAGATTCCCTTACTTTAAAAATATTTCCCAGCACCACGGGTTCACGAAGATAGCCAAGCAAATGACCCAGGATTTCCCAGCATTTACTGAATCTGATTGGTCTTCGGCTGCACAAGTGATCCAGCAGGCTTTCCTTTCCCCTAAAGGAGCTGTCACAGACTGGGCAATTGTAGATCTTTTGCATCTTGAGTGTGTTGGCTGAGTGGGACTCTCTGCAACAGAAGTGCTGGTTGTGTTGACGTCTGAAGTGGATATTGAGGTGGCTTAAGAGACAGGTTCTCATGGCAAAAGTCATGCGACAATAGGGGCAAGAGATCTTTTCTTTTGAGTGGACCACTGCAATAGAGTTGGATCGCACATTCAGGGAAGAGGTTCTGCTGTTCCGTGCCTTAGCCCTGGCTACTGGTCCCTGGATCACTTTCACATACTTGAGGGCGGGCGCTTGGGATGCAGGTTTTGGAGGTGGAACCTTACCCTTCCGCTTCTGGTTGCTAGCCACTCGCTTGTTTTGGTGTCCCTTTAGGTGGCTAGCCACTCGCTTGTTTTGGTGCACCTTTAGGTGGCTAGCCCCTGGCTTGTCTTGGTGCACCTTCAGGTGGCGGTTGACCTCAGACTGATCCCGGAAGCACTTTCCACACACAGGGCACGAACGGGGCCTATAACCTAAATGAACACGTCGGTGACGGCTCAGTCCAGAACCATCACGGTAAGTCTTGCCGCAGAGATTGCAAAAGAAAGGTCTGTCTCCATGATGCTGGGGCTTGCGGCCGCGGGCTTTGCGACTTTGCGGCTTTGTGACTGCTAGCCTCCTGGACCTCAAAGGAAACTGGTGATTAATGAGGAAGCTGTTCCTTTTGAAACATTTGCCACAGGTCAGACAGAAAAACAACGGTCCACCTTTGAACACCCCAGTGCAACCGGAGGTCTTCTCCTCATCATCCTTATCTTCCAGATCTGGGCTAGGTTCTTGAGATTTCTTTTCTGTGGTAGAGGAGGGAAAATATACAGTGTACTATGAGAACACCAGCACAAGGTGTGCACTCAGTACAAGCCACTTTTCCCTTTTCCCAGCCTTTAAAATGCAACCATCCACCCTTGGACCTCATAGGCTAGAAACAGGAAAATATATTCATAATAATAATAGTGGGTAGTAAAAATTTCATAGGCATCTTCTATAATCTCAAATATCTAAATATCAACTTACATCTTTGAAATCCATCTTCCCACTCTCAATATGACTCATATTCTCCCAGATACCCCACAGATAATAAAGCAGTAATTCTCCCCTCATCCCTGATTACACACATGTCAGCCAAGTACAAAATATTAAATGAATTCCCTACTGCAAGACCACATTCACATAACTTTTAAATATAGATTATAACTATTGTATCTTATTAGTATTTTAGTTTATTACTGTGTCTAGTACAGAACACAGAACTCAGGACCTGGGGATACAGCTCAGTAGCAGAACACTTGCCTGGTGTACACAAAGCCTGGGGTTCAATCCCCAGCTCTGTAAAAACAAAAAACATGTAACTAGGCCTCAGTGCTATGTGTGGCTGTACCTTCAGGAACCATCTGAACAAAATACTTTCAGATAACAGAGAACTCACCTCCCAGTGTTGGGAGGTGCATACAATCGGACTACCAGTGAGCTACATCTCTCGCCCAAGGGAAGGCTATTGCAACATGAAAATTGGGAATGAAAAGTAATGCTCGTAATTATTAATAATTGGATTGGAGTAAGAAGCAACACACCAGGAGTGTCTGAGCTGGGAAGTGTGGCCAACTTAAATTAACATTCCTCTCAATTCCTTATCTCTTATCTCAGTAACAAGCTTATCTCTCTCCAGGTCAACATTGTGGAACTTGTTTCTCTACTTCTGCCAGGAAGAACTTCTTAATCAAAGGGTGACACTAACTGAAAGGCTCACAGGCCATCTCTCAATTCCTGGAAACTAGATTACTTGTTTTGAAAATCTTGGCTATTCATTATGAAGCCAGTGGACTTAAAACTTTGATCTCAGGGTTTCCTCTAGTCCCAAGTCTAACACAGATCGATGGAAAGACATAGATACCGAGCTCGATGCGCTAGCTAGGTCAGCTCACCATGCTGAGATTATCCTGGGTCCCTTTTATCCTCCTCTTTCCTCTGCAGTTTTTTTTTTCTAATTGCACTTTTACTATTTTGTTGTATGCATGTATGCAAGTATACACATGCTATGGCATGCTTATAGAGACAGGACAGCTTGTAGGGTTAGTTTTCTCTTTACACCAAGTACATTCAAATTCTAATTGTGAGCCTTGGTGGCAGGCACTCCTAACCAATGAACCATTTTGCTGGCCCTTGGTTCTGTGAGATGATAGGTCCCCAAATACATGATGAAACCAAGGTATTGGGATTATAGATGTGAGCTACCATATCCAGCTTCCTTTACTGCTCTCACCGGTTGTCTTTGGAGGATAGAGACTTGATCTCTATCCTTTTCCTTTTTTTCCGGTGTTCCAATAAAAAAGTTTTGGCTCTGAGTGGAGTCATATTGGGGGCAGGGGAATGGTCTTATTGTTTTTGGCAACAAGGTATACAATGCAAGCTGGCTCTGAATTATCTCCATCCTTCTGAGTGATCAGATGCACTACCAAGACTGTCTGCAGTGTGGAAATGAAGCAAAGTGGTCTCATGCTAAGCCCCTTTATGTCTTATGCAGACAACAGGCTACCTCCTATAGGTTTGCTTTAAGAACGTTAATCTAGGGTTAGCAAGATGGCTCAGCAGTTCAGTGCACCTTTTGGTCTTGTAGAGGATCTAGATTCTGTTCCCAGTAACTGCATGGTGACTTACAACCATCCATAACCAGTTTCAGGGAATCCCATCCCCTCTTCTAACCTTTATGGACACCAGGCCCACACAGTGTGCATACAAACACGCAAGCAGAACATTCTTATACATAAAATAAACCTTTAAAATGTGGGGGTTTGGTTTGTTTTTTTTTTTTTTTTTTTGGTTTTTCGAGACAGGGTTTCTCTGTAGCCCTGGCTGTCCTGGAACTCACTCTGTAGACCAGGCTGGTCTCGAACTCAGAAATCCTCCTGCCTCTGCCTCCCAAGTGCTGGGATTAAAGCCTGCGCCACCACCACCTGGCGGGGGTTTGTTTTTAAAGGACACTAATCTAAGACACTTGGTTGCAGCTTCTGGTATAATGCCTCACACTAAATATTGTTGGATATTGTTGGATATTATTGACTAAATATTGGTTGGATATACAGGCAGGTGTTTTTTGAGGTAGGTTCACTATGTAGTCCAAGCTGGCATCAATCTGTATAACCAAGGTTGGGGTTTAGTTTGCAATCTTCCTGCATCAGATCCAGGAATTTTGGGAGTGTTGGAAGTCTTCGATTACAGGCTTTTATCAACAAACCAGGCCTACAGTCAAATTTGCATATTTTCACAATATAATTACAATGATAAAAGTGTTGCCCTGGGGTTGGGAAGGTAGCTCAGTAGATAAAGTGCTTACCATACAATCATGAGCACTTGAGTTTGATCCTCGAAATGCACATTAAGAAGGCCAGGTGTAAGGGCACTTGGATGTAAACCCAGCTCCATGAAGTAGAAAAGGTGGATACTTAGGGCTCACTGGTCAGTCAGTACAGAGTGGATGTATTCTGAGGAGTGAAGCCCAAATTTGACCCTGGCCTCCATGTGAACACATAAGTGTACCCACATATACATGAACCCACACACAGCATTATCCTTATATTCCTGGGGTGTTTTTTGTTTCTAGTTTTTTTGTGTGTGTGACTTAAGTGTTTTGCCTACTTGTATATTTGTATGTGAACCACATCCATACCTGGTGCCCATAGAAGTCAGAAGGTGTGGGACCCCTGGAATTAGAGTTACAAATGTTTGTGAGCCACCATGTGGGTCTAGAAACTGAACTCAGGTTCTCTGCAAGAACAAGTACTATCTCAACCCCTTAGCTACCTCTCTGGACCCATGTAGGTAGTCCAGACTGGCCTTAAAGTTGCTATGTAGCTGAGAATTACCCTAATCTCATCTTCCTACCTCTGTTTCCAAGCCCAGTTTATCTTCTAAGTTTTTATTTCTTCTACTTTTCCCCTTGAATTTTGTGACTCAGATCTTTCAGGCTGACTTTGGTCTATCTGATCAGAAACAGCAAGCATATTTTCTAAGGCTATAGGACAGAGAGAATGCTGAGGGAGTCACAGTCTCTTACCCACAAATGTTAGGTTCTTGAAGGTTTCTGACATCACATTCTGGTAAAGGTTCTTCTGTGTAGAAGTCAGACGGTTCCATTCTTCCTGTGTGAAACTCACTGCCACGTCCTCATAACTGACCGATGTCCTTGATGGCTGGGCAGACTTAGACTGTAAATACAGAGACTTGAAGTGTCTGCTCAGGGACTTTTCAGTCCCTAAGCCTCTGCTTTGGCTTAGGCACTATCACATCTGCCTTGACAATGCATTTAGGATTTTTCTACAGTCCTGTCCATAGCCCAAATGCATAACCAAAAATCTCTGCTGAGTGTGTAGCAAAACACATATTACAGATTCCTTTAACCTATCCATGAGAATGTGGTTTTGCTTTTATAAATGTGGTACCCCTGAGCTTCCTTCCAATGCCAAGAGCTTTCCCGAGGCACTAACCTGCTCCTGGTCACCAGCTTAAAGGACTACTATTTGGCCCTATGTGTATGGTGGTGGGAAACTTTCTCACTTGGACTATAAAATACTGACATGTACTTAAGATTTTGGGAATTGAGACCTAAGAGAAAGAAAATACCATGAAAGGGTATAGGGAAGGGCACATAATCCAGAGTTGTGGCACACAGAAAGCAAAGGATGGGCACAGATGGAACTCTCACTGAACAGAGAAGAGGAGAGGAGAGAAGAGGGGAGGGAAGGAGAAGAGGGGAGAGAAGGAAAACTATGAAAGATTCCAAGGTGGTATGGAAGATAGAGGAGATCTTGCAATTCCTTTTTTCTATTGTTTGGCCTGGGACAATCTGGGGTTCCATTGGATCCACAGGCAGGGAAAATACCTCAAGAGAGTCTAGGGCCTACCACTTCTTTACCTGACCACCTCCTTTCTTCTGTTAGATTTCACTAGCAATCTCTCTGTGTTATGTGCATGTGTGCCTTCCTCTATTTTTCTCTACCTATTTTTTGGGAAATCTCCCACTGAACAAGAATATCTGGCTAGAAAACCTCTGGAGTTATCCTGCTGACCTAGTGTCTCTCTGTCTGTCTGTCTGTCTGTCTCTCTCTCGTTTTAATGTGTGATCTAAAGATTCCATACTGGGTCTTCAACTTTGTGCAACAAGTACTTTACAACACTCAGAGCCAACTCCCCAATTCTTCCACCATAATCTTTGTTTTGGGCTTCTATAGAGCAGCTAACATACTAGCTACCCCAAAGAGGAGCATGTCTTTAGTGGTGTCTCTTTCTACTTTTAGAGCCTTCTGGTCTGGATCCCAAGACTAATGAGATTCTCTATTTTCCAGGTACTGGGTAGTGGGAGGGTTCCTACAAGGGCCCAAGAATTTGATACTGCTTCTCGTAACAAAAGTATTTACTCTAAAAGAGATTATCTTCCTTGATTGTTCAACTGTCCAAATTCTCCTTTCATGTGACAGCTTTAGTTCCCTCAAAGTTCAGGCCATAGAGTTCAGGGCTCTGGTTACCTGTCTCTTAGCTGCCATTGTTTGATAATGCCAGGCTGGTCCTAGGCGCTTGACTTGTATTCCAGACTGCTTCTAGACACAATATGCTGGTGCCCACTTCTAGAAATCTAAGGTTTGAGAAAAATATATAATATCAGCAAAAGGAGAGAGTAAGGAACAAGTACTTCCGTAACACCCAGTTACTAGCTTCCTGCACTGTGATGGAGCCTTCTCGGCAATACCACGTGAGGTAAATTGGCTCCATTTTCACAAACCTCAAGCGTAAGCGTTAAGTCATCCATTTCAGGACATGTGACCAATGGGAGAGTAATGTTTAATTCTAGACTTAGTATCACTGAAAAATACATACCTCAGTATGTCACATACCACTCTGAGTCTGTCTCTTCATCCTCTATGACTTGATTTCACTGGAAAGATGAAAGTAAATTTCTCTTCCAGGACCAGAAATTAAAATATAGGTTCTGTGATTTGAATATGTGGGTGGAATGCTGGGTCTCAAACCTAAGAGCTTGTGTCTGCTAAACAAGTGCTATACCACTAAGCCTTATGCATACACCAAGCTTTACAACTTCAATGTTTAAAGATATTTTGATATTTTACAATGGAGCTAGCCTCTGATGACCTCTTAAACTGAAAATATCATTAAGTCAGAAATGCAAGTAATACATATACCTACAAAACCTCATAGCTTAGTCACAAAGTACACTGTAGTGTGTGTTGTTTCCTTTCCTGATCTAGCTGTCCGGAAAGTGCAACCTGTGACTACTACCCAGCATGAAGGAACATCAGAGTATCTATCCCTATGCACCATATAGTACTAGAGACAAGTTAAATCAAACCCCAAAACACAAGTTGTCTGAATATGTAAGGCTTTCCCATCATTTTGGATCATCTTAGGTCTTGGCATCATGAGTCCAGTGTCATTTGTACAACACAGTGATAATAGCCCAACAACATTTAACATTCCTTGTTCACTCTGAAATCTTTATTTATTTCTATTTCTCCTCTCTAGATACAAGGGAAGCATAAAGGCACGGAGACTTGTTGCTCTTTCTTTTCTTCTCAATTCTTTTGCTAAGTGAAAGTACCAGCAAGGAACAAGGCATTCAAGGAATTGCTAACTCTGATCCTCAAAATGTTGCCAGGAATGCTGCATTCTAGGATCTGAGGTTGATTTTCTTCCTTCCTTCTGTCTCACCTCTCATTATTCTTGAAAAACCACATTCCAAAGTCTTCCGGGACCTGTCCTTAACCATTCTCAGCAAAGATCCCCTTATCTTCACAATAGCATGAAGATGTGTGTGACCCAATCCATTACCCAAACACCAGGAAGACTGAGACAGGATCTCCAGGAGTTCTAGGACAGCCTGGGCTACATAAATCATTATCCATCAACAACAACAGAAGCAGCACATTCACACAGAGCAGGGATCGGTCTTTGTTATAGACATAGGCTGCTTAAGGAGATTGACAGGTGTTGCATACCTCCATCCACCTCCTCACTCATTTACCTCTCTGATTGTTCTTTCCTGGTCCAGGAGGAAGCCCTGAGAATGCAAGGAGACCGAGTAAGACTTAGCTGTTGATTGGCAGGAGGTCAGGCCCCGTCGTCGTCCCTCCCAACTCCCACTCCCCTGGCATGGTAGATGGGCCAGGCCTGGCCTCACCCTTCCATTGGGTAAATTTCTGGAAGGACTGTGCAGAGACATCTCTCAACCCTGAGTGGACTCCTCCAACTAAAGCCCATTCATTGTTTCGGAAATCTGAGGAGCCAGCCCCAATAGCACAAAGGAAGCTAAGACAGGAAGATCAGGCAGACTTGCCACAAGACACCGTGTCTGTTCGGCTCTCTAAATCTGAGGCCCTGACGCTCTCACACACACAATCTGAGGAAAAATGCCCGCACGCTGTAGGCTTTGCCGGATCTGCCTCGGTCCCAGCCCCGAAACCCCCGGGGTTTCAGCCACGTGAGCCTTTCCACCGCGGAGCCAGGCGGCTTCTCCCACCCAGGTGTTGGGCCTTCGTGGCTCCACCGCGGGGCTTCACCCGGGTCCCCGCATGCTCTCACCGCGCTCGACAGCCCTACTTGGGAGCTCGGCAGCCCCGCCGTCCCCAGCGCTCGTCTTCCGAGCCGTCGCCTTGGACTACAGCAGCACAAAGGGCTGGGCGTGTTCCAGCTCCGACACGAACGTAGCGGCGTGAACCCGGGAAGGCGCCCTTGCCCGAAGTCAGGAATCCGCTACTTTGTCCCTCTGCTTCCGTTCTGCTCCATCCGCAGGTAACACATCTCAAGCGGCTGTCTGCCAAGGTCAGAAATTTAGATCTGAAGAAGCCCAATGCCTGCATGCCACGCCTTCTCGTCCCGCCTACGGTCGGTCTTCACTGGTCTCAGCTGCGCTAGGAAATTCCATTTTCTAAGATTAAGTATTTGCTCCTGGGGTGGGGGATGGGAGTGGGGGGATGGGGGCTAGGGGTGGGGGAGAGGGTGGGGAGATGGGGGATGGGAGGAACAGGTGACTCAGTTCGGTAATTCTCTGTACTAGACAGGTGAAAGTGAGTTCCAGGCCAGTCTGGGCTTCACAGTAAAAAACAAACAAAACACACACACACACACACACACACACACACACACAAAATAAGGTGAGACCAAAGGAAAACTGGAACTTCTCAGACAAGTAAAATGAACCGTGGAGCAACATCTTTTTCTTCTTTCTTTCTTTTTTTTCTTTTCTTTTTTTTTCTTTTTCTTTTTCTTTCTTTTTTTTTTTTTTTTTGTGGCTTTTTCGAAACAGGGTTTCTCTATGTAGCCCTGGCTGTCCTGGAACTCACTCTGTAGACCAGACTGGCCTCGAACTCAGAAATCCGCCTGCCTCTGCCTCCCAAGTGCTGGGATTAAAGAAAGGCGTGCGCCACCACTGCCCGGCTGTGGAGCAACATTTTAAGTAAAGTAAAAACCAAGAAAGCAACACGAGACTTAAAAGACTGTAAGTTACAGGATGGTGCAGTAGTTAAGGAAGATTCCAGGCGTCTTAGCACAGACAGTTCACAACGACCTGTAACCAGGGGACCCCACACTCTTCTTTTGGTACCATCCCAAATGTGGCATGCACTCACACAGACACATGAGAATAAAAATAATGATAAAAAAAAAAAGATACAGACACTACATAGGTATCACACCAAGGTCAAGTCTTACTAGTGTTTCACATACCGAATTCACTTCAGTCTCTCTCTGTAACCCTTTTTCTTTTCTTTCTTTTTTTTTTTTCTTTAAGATTTATTTATTGCCGGGCAGTGGTGGTGCACGCCTTTCTTTAATCCCAGCACTTGGGAGGCAGAGGCAGGTGGATTTCTGAGTTCGAGGCCAGCCTGGTCTACAGAGTGAGTTCCAGGACAGCCAGGACTACACAGAGAAACCCTGTCTCGAAAAACCAAAAAACAAACAAACAAAAAAAGATTTATTTATTTTATTTATATGATATTTATATGAGTACACTGTAGCTGTCTTCAGACACACCAGAAGAGGGCATCAAATCTTATTACAGATGGTTGTGAGCCACTATGTGGTTGCCAAGATTTGGACTCATTACTTCTGGAAGTGCAGTCAGTGCTCCTAACCACTGAGCTCCAGTGTGCCCCACCCCTTTTTGCTTTTAATAAGTTCAATAACATTTAGCCCATGTCTCAGGCAGCCAAAGCACAAGCACAGGTAGGGAGGGTGATAGGAAAGTATAGATTGAAGTACTAGATTGAAGCAATCCACATGAAACAGACGGGCAGCGAAGTAAAAAAAACAAAACCAAAACAAAACAGAACAAAAAACCCACACTTTATGTCAATAAAGAACTGTTTCTCGATGGGCAGTGGTGGCACATGCCTTTAATCCCAGCATTTGGGAGGTAGGGGCAGGCAGATTTCTGAGTTGGAGGCCAGCCTGGTCTACAGAGTGAGTTCCAGGACAGCCAGAGCTACACAGAGAAACCCTGTCTCGAAAAAACAAAACAACAAAACAAAACAAAAACAAAACAAAAAAAAAAAGAACAATGAAAACAAAATGAAAACAACAACAGCAACAAAAAAAACCAACCTGTTTCTCACCCTGGCTTCAAATTACCTTATTTACAAAACTGGGCAACCATAGTTAGCTGATTTAGGTTGTTCTTCAACTTTAAGCAAACTTTGTTTGTTTGTTTATTTATTTATTTATTTACTCTTTACTTACTTAAGAGACAAGTCTTCCTAGGAACTCACTATGGAGCCCATACTGCTCTTGAATTCAAGACCCCCTCAATTCCGTGATTGCACATATACTGCTGTACCTGGCAGAAGGACTAAGGTCCTTCGTTCTTGAGGTTTGAACAGGGATCTAGCTGATATGACTGAAGCCACTGCGTTGTAAACACCATCTTGCCAAGCAGGTAGCCCTGGCCCATATTCTAACACTATAGGAAAATGAAGCCCTTAGAACAGTTCAGCATTTCATGCTAGTCACTCTACTGGCACCTAGGCTATTCCCAGCTGATGTCTGATGTACTAAGAACCTTTGAGAAAGCCCAGATACATTCTAGCTCGCTGCACACCGCCCTTATCTAGCTCGGCATCCTTCTTCCTGCCTTGAAGTAGCAGGAATTCTCTGCTTTGCTGATATCTAAGAAATGCTTCAAATCTTTAGATACAACTACACTCTGCATAGCACTAGGTTTGTCGCCTCTTCAGTTTCAGTGCCTCTACGCTAGGTTTTCCAGAGACAACTTGATTTAGAGAATGCAGAAAATTTTATCCACTACTAAAGAGAACATCTCTCATGTGTGGTAGTACATGCCTGTCTTCCTAGCATGTGAAAGATGGATGAAGGGGGGATCAAAGTTATCCTCAAGGGTTGGGAACTTAGCTCAGTGGTAGAGTGCTTGCCTAGCAAGCACAAGACCCTGGGTTCAGTCCTCAGCTCTGAAAAGAAAAAAAAAATCAAAATAACAAAGTTATCCTCAACCACATAGTGAGTTCAAGGCTAGCCTGGGCTATATGAGACTATCTTAACCAGGAAGCCATTAGATATGTGTCATTGATTCCCCCGCCAGGGTTTGGGTTCACATTATAGAGAAATCTGAGTAGGGATCCAGACATAGTCACACACAATTCTAATCCCAGCACTTAAAAGGCTGAGACAAGAAAATATCAAACTTTAAGTAAGGATCATCCTGGACTACTAATCAGTCCCAGGCTAGCTTAGACTGTGAGACCCTGTCTGAATAATCAGCTTGATGAACTTTAGCACATCTCTGTGTGTGTATGTGAAGGTATTTCTAGAAACAAGTCATAGTTTTCCAACCTAATGAATAATTTAATTCATTTATGGATTTAAAGTTTGAATAGGTTAATCCAATGGGAGATTGGGAAGCTAGGGCCTGGTTGGAGGAAGTAGGCCACTGGTAGTATGTATCTGGAGACTACATCTTGCCTTGGCTGCTTCCTGTTACTGCTCCACTATTTCCTGTGCATTATACATTGTGAACTGCTCTGCTTTCCCATAAGATGCCTCCATAAGATCAGGTTATAGGCAAGCCTGTGAGGCATTTTCTTTCTTTTTCTTTTTTTCTTTTTCTTTCTTTCTTTTTTTTTTTTTTGGTTTTTCGAGACAGGGTTTCTCTGTGTAGCCTTGGCTGTCCTGGAACTCACTCTGTAGACCAGGCTGGTCTGGAACTCAGAAATCCACCTGCCTCTGCTTCCCAAGTGCTGGGATTAAAGGCGTGTGCCACCACCACCCAGCGAGGCATTTTCTTAATTAGTGATTGATTGGGGAAAAGCCTAGCTCATTGTGGGTGGTACCACCTCTGGCCTGGTGGTCCTAGGTTCTAGAAGAAAGCAGGCTGAGCAAGCTAGGAGGAGCAAGCCAGTAAGCAGCACCCCTTCATGGCCTCTTCATCAGCTACTGCATCAGGTTCCTGCCATGTTTGATTCCTGTCCTGATTTCCTTCAATGATGAACAGTGATATGAAGTGTGAGCCAAATGAAACATTTCCTCTGCGACTTTCTTTTTGGTTATAGTGTTTCATCATAACAATACAAACAATATGAAGAGCCAAAACATACTGCCACCGAACAAACAAACAAAAACAACAACAAAAAAAAACCAGGCAATTGTAAGAGAAACCTAACACACATAGTTTTTAACCAGACATGCAAGTGGTGAGCAAGTGTACTTTCAAGCAAAATGTAAACCCATACATATAAAATACAATGAAAAAATTTATTTTACGATGTTTCAATATCTCTTTCCCTCTCTTCTCCTTTCTCTCAGCTTCTCATAACCTGACATTTCAATGAGTCACTATCCATGTGAAAAGCAGCACTAGGGTTGAGGCTCTTAAGCCTATCTCCAATAGAATCCACCCTTGAAGCACTGATGTCTCCCCCCACCGACTAGACTTCCGGTGTGCCTTTCTCTCTGGTTTCCACCCAGCATTCCTTTTGGCCTCCCTCCCAGTCTCGACTTACCTATTTTGACTTCTGTGACCTCTTTATCTTCCCAGGACACTGCACTAGGTAGTTCTAGCTCCTCCTCCTCCATCTTACTTGTGGAATTTCTGGGCTAGTTCCCAGAAAGAGGAAAGTTCTGGAATTAATGGAAGCTACAAACTAGCGGTATAGTCAATCTGGAGACTTGTTGTTGTTGTTTTTTTGTTTTTTTGTTTTGTTTTGTTTTTTTGAGACAGGGTTTCTCTGTGTAGCCCTGGCTGTCCTGGAACTCATTCTGTAGACCAGGCTGGCCTCCAACTCAGAAATCCACCTGCCTCTGCCTCCCAAGTGCTGGGATTAAAGGCGTGTGCCACCACTGCTCGACCAAAAAGTTGCAGTGGAGTCTTGTTTGTTGTTTGTTTGTTTGTTTTTGGTTTTTTGGTTTTGTTTTTTTGAGACAGGGTTTCTTTGTGTAGCCCTGGCTGTCCTGGAACTCACTCTGTAGACCAGGCTGGCCTCCAACTCAGAAATCTGCCTGCCTCTGCCTCCCAAGTGCTGGGATTAAAGTCGTGCGCCACCACTGCCCAACTTAATTTGGAGACTTGTATCATCAAGTCAGTGTCTACCATCACTCAAAGAAGAGGACGCATATGTGTTTGCCTGGATTTGGGAAGCA